CCAAGATGGAATTGCAGATTTGACAGATGTATTAATATAATGGAGAGTACTTTGAAGCTGATAAGGTTGTTTTGTAAAAAAAATTTAATACATAGCTTGGGGGGGAAAAGTTTCGGGGGTTTTTATGGGGACACCCTCGTATTTTGGAAGTTGTCAAGGAGTTTGTTTTTCTCGGATCACAACCAATTCCCCTGGAAACACCTGTCAGGAAATCAAATGTTGTATTGCCTTGGTCAGATCTGCGGCCAAAGACCTCTTTAAAGTATTGAAAAGGACAAATCTAAGGTGCACATGACCTAAGCCTGGTATTTTCAGGCAGGCATCAGACATACCTCCAGGGTCCATCCTTCTTTGCCTAATCTGACACCAAGTCTGCCTCCCATGCCACTGTACATCTTTTCTGGGTTCGATAATGTGTTGAAATGGCCACACAGAACTTACAGACAGTGCTCACAATTAAGGCAGTGTATTAGGAGAGTCACTAGGTTACCACAAGTCAGCAGCACATAAGAATACGGTCATTGCCTCTGTCTGATCCTGTTTCTCATTCACATGGCCCTTCAGCCTTTGCCTCCGTGGGCCATGAAGGCAGCCTGCCTATCACTCTCCCATAGTTCATACTCTCGACCTCATAGACGGTGTCAGTGCTGCTCCTTTGAGTCTCTGCACCATAATACTGATAGCTCTGTCCTCTGGCCCAACCATTTCAGACAGATCTTGAAAATACTCTTCCAAGGTCCTCAGGGTTGCTCTCTGTTCTACTGCTTTAGAGACGACTCATCGTTAATAGACACAGAAAATTGACCAGTCCCCTCTTAGTGTTCCACCAGCCCTATTTGCATAATCTCACCCAATCATGTGGTGAGAGTTACAGAAACTGGATAGAAGAGCCATATTAAGAACTTTCACTCCACCACATATATATGCTGCAAAATGCCACAAGAACATTAAAATCCAGCAGCATAGAGCCCTTTTATATAGGGAAAATAATAGCCAAGGTTTTGCTAGGTTATGGATAAGTCCAAAATTAACATACAAAACTTTAAATTTATTTTATTGTTTCTCTAAATGACTATTGCCTTAAATCGTTACCCCTTGGTGAACTCTAACTTTCTGAAAGTATAAGAGAATGGCATTTGCATTAGCTTCTCACAGTAAGTCAGTATCTATAGTAATGTGTTGAGAACTGTCATTGGACCTATTCTGTTTTAGACTAATGGAAGTGAAGGTTGCTTTCTGTGTGCCTCCATGGGTGTGTGTTCCAAAAGCTATAATTAGTTGAAATAAATCTGGAGTATTTAGGGCTCCTTTAGTTATCCTTGATTATTAGCAGAAATCCTGAAACAGAATCCATAGTAATGAGATTCTTAGGAACTTGAACAGAGTAGAAACTGAGAAGGCAAGCATAAAGTGGACATCGGCAGTGCCGGGGAGAGGACACTTTATAAGGTGACTCTACTGTTACCTTTCGCAGGAATACCGTGGGGTTTTCCCTTTCAAAGCTGCTTGGAGTAGAGTGTCGAAGGTCGTCAGTGTGGCTCTGGCAGAGTGCCATCGTTGCTTAGTAATGTTTGGTATGAGCCCAGGATCTGAGAGTGGCGGCTCATATAGCACGTATTTCTCATTCCTGGAGAGTGTTGCTTATTGTTCACACAGAAATGCCAGTATACTAGTTGCAAAATTAACTATCCATATATTGCGAAATATTCTTTCAAATTCTATGGAAACTCTTATCTAGAAAACAAAGAGACTATTAATACCAAAAAGATAAATATATTGAATAGGTGGTAATAGATTGACATGTTAAAAAAAAGTTATTAAAGTGTTTTTTTGATAGTTTTATAATGCATCTTCAAGTCAGTTAGTATCTGAAGAACCCTAGAAAAATGATGCTAGAGCTTCCTTCAGCCAACTCGTTTATCTCAAGTTATCATTCTGTAACCCTTCCCCGATCACTGAAGGAAGAGTCTGGGTCAGCAGTGAGCAACATATGGGCCCAGGGCTTCACTCATTGGCTTGTATTTCATCTCGGGAATCCATCTTACATGAGAAATTGGGACCCTGATGATATTAAATGATGCCAATTCCAGTGGCCATTAGCTGAAAAATCAATCTAGCAGGGAGAGGAAAACTTAGTAGTTGGTTTACATTTTAGCCCAGATTGACAACCTGGAAATTGACAATTTTTTTTTCTTTAGTTGGTTGTACCATTTAAAAATCTAAGGTATTTTCAATTTTTTAAAATTGTGATACAGTATAGTCAGACCTTCATCTGGATAAACTTTCACAAATACCATGTAACCATCAACCTGATAAGATTCAGAACCCTCCTCCAAACTCACTCCATCAAGTTGATTCCAATTCATAGCAATCCTATAGAAGAGGCTAGAGCTGAGCATATGGGTGTCTGAGGCGATAAATCTTTACAGGAGTAGAAAGCTTCGTCTCTCTCTCCTTTGGAGGGGCTAGTGGTTTTGAATTGTTAGCATTTTGGTTAGCAGCCCAATGTATAACCAACTGCACCACCAGGGCCTCTCAGAACCTTCCTACTGCTGTAGAAATCTCCCTTGTTCTCTTTCCCTGTTAGTCCCCCCAGCCCAGCCGTTAGTCTGACATATATTGCCATTAATAAGTTTTGTTCTTGAAAGTCATAGAGATGTAATGAGGTAAGAGATGTTATTCTGTATCCACCACCTATTGATCATTACATTTGTGAGCTTTGTTTATGATTACATTTTGTGTTGTTGTTGGGTACTATCACGTTAGCGCTGACTAACTTACACGACAGAGCGAAACACTGCCTGGTCTTGTGCCATCCTCATATTGTGACTGTGTTTCATCCCACTGTTGTCGCCAGAGCGTCAGCCCATCTTACGGTCATCTTTTCTGCTGCTGACACTTTCTCCAGGGACTGATCCCGTGTCCAAAGTGTCTGAGGCAAAGCCACCATCTTTGCTTCGTGGGAGCATTTTGACTGTACTTCCAACACAGATTTGTTGGTCATTCTGGTAGTGCATAGTATATTCAATACGTATTCTCTAATTCAAATGTTTCTATTCTTCTCCAGCCTTTCTTATTCATTGTTCAGCATGTATGCATATGAGGCAACAGAAAATTCTTCTTGTAGCAAATTTAACTGATAGAAAATGTCATTTGATTACTGCTGCTTCCATGGGCATTGGTTGTGGACCCAAAGAAAATGAAATCCTTGACAACTTCCACTATTTCTTAATCATGATGTTGTGTGTTGATCCGGTTGTGAGGATTTTTGTTCATGTTGAATTTAATTCATAACTCAAAGCACTGCCCTCGAGTCAATTCTGACTTGTAGCAACCATGTAGAACAGGGTAAAACTGCCCATGGGTTTAGGATACTAACTCTTTATGGGAGTAGAAAGCCTCTTTCCCTCCCACAGAGTAGCTGGTGGTTTTGAAACAATCACCTCATGGTTAGCAGCCCAGCTCGTAACCTATTATTGCCATCAAGGCTCAATTCATACTTACGGATGTAATAGTTGATCATCAATAAGTGCTTCCAGCCCTCTTTCAATAAGCAAGTTTGAATACTTCAGGTTAATAAGTCTTCCTCCCATCATGATGCTGCTGTTAATGTAGTCCAGTGGTTTTCAACCTTCCTAAGGCCGCGACCCTTTAACACAGCTCCTCATGTTGTGGTGACCCCCAACCATAACATTATTTTTGTTGCTACTTCATAACTGTAATTTTTCTACTGTTATGAATTGGGCGACCCCTGTGAAAGGGTCATTTAACCCCTCACAGGTTGATAACCACAGTCTAGCATGTCAGATTATTTGCTCAGCATATTGATTAAGAATGGTGAAAGGATTCAGCCCAGATGCATACCTTTCCTGGTTTACTACCATTTTTATTGAGAAAAAGGTGTTTGCAATGAAGAAGTCGCTCCTCTTGCAAAATTCTATAATTCAACTTCCAGCTTCATTTCTAAACCAAGGCCATATTTTCTGACTGTTGCTCCTTCTTGTTCCCAACTTTGGATTTTCCAATTCTCCAGTAATTATCAGTGCATCTTGATTGCTTGTTTAATCAATTGAAGATGGAAAAGTAGATTTCTGCAACCCATCACTAGCTTTAGTGGTTTGTACATATATTTAAATAGTAGTATTAACTGAACTTCTTTCTAGGTGTATTGCTATTATTCTGTCGAAGACAGGATACTTCAAGAAAAATATCTTGTACTTCAAGATAGGTCTTGAAATGTTTTTTGTTTTTTCCAAGATGAATGTGATGCTATTTCTCTTTGATTTGTCGTTCCAGGCGTAGTAGTCCATAATTGTCTGATTCAAAACGGCCACTGCTAGTCCATTTTAGCTTACCTAGGATATGAATCTTTATGTGTTCCATTTCTTTTCTTGGCAATGTCCGATTTTCCTAGATTTCATAATTTGCACATTCCACATCTCAATTATTAAGGGGTATTTTTGCAGCTGTGCTTTGTTTTTTTTCATTTTGAGTCCTGCCCCGTCAGCCAGTGAAGATCCTGAAAGCTTTATACCATCTACCTCACGGTTGACTTTACTTGAGGAAGCAGCTCTTCCTTAGTTGCATTTTGAGTCCCTTCACATCTGAGGGGTGCATCTTGCAGCACTGCATCTAACTATGTTCTGCTGCTAGTCATAATCACTCAGAAGTGGACACGCCATTCCTTCCTTGAAGTCTGTTCTTTATCAGAAGTTTTACTGCAGCCTGTTCACCCTGGGAGACCCCACTGGTTTTTGAAACTACTGGTGACATAGCTTCCTGCATCACAGCACGAAAGCCACCACAGTGAATGAGACAAACTCAGAGACAAGTGGTGGCTTTTCCTATAGAATCTTTACTATTGTGACGTGAGGCTTGAATTTTTCCTTCAGTTCTTTCATCTTGAGAAATGTATGTTCTTCCTTTTTCCAGCTCCAGGTCTTTGCACATTTCATTTTAATATTTTGTTTGCAGGAACCACCCTTTGAAACCTTCTGCTTGTACTTACCTGGCAGAGGAGATACCATGATCATGAAGGTGGTTTTCCCAGGGCGAGGCTTATCCATAGCACTCCTGGTGTGCTGACCCCTACGATGTCCCCAAATGTGGGAAACTCGACTGCATCATTTGTGGTAGTCTAGGGGGACTGCGTTCGCAATCTCCCCTGAAAGAAAAGGAAAAAAGAAAGAAACCTGTTCATGCGATTGACTTCATCATTTCTGCGGTCCCCCTTAGCTGCTCCACATTTAATAGCAAGTCCCATTATCTCTTCTGACAGCCACTTCGGTCTTTCTTTCTTTCCTGTGTTTTTAATGATGTGTCATATCTGTTCTTGAGATAGTCTGTAAATTAAGTGGGTTTGCCTGAAAGTTTTACTCCCTGGACAAGTGGAGGAAGTACATACTCAAGGTGTTTTGATTTCTTTCCAACCAAGGGTCGCACATTATTGCACTGTATCAGACATTGTCCCACTACTGTTCTTAAAGTTTCACTGACTGGTTTTTATCAGGAGTAGTTCGCCATGTCCTACTTTAAAAAAAAATCATTTTATTAGGGGCTCATACGACTCTTATCACAATCCATACATACATCAATTGTGTAAAGCACATTTGTACAGTCATTACCCTCATCGTTCCCAAAACATTTGCTCTCCACTTAAGCCCCTGGCATCAGCTCCTCATTTTTCCCCTCCCTCCCCACTTCCCCCTCCCTCATGAACCCTTGATAATTTATAAATTATTATTTTGTCATATCTTACACTGTCCGACATCTCCCTTCACCCACTTTTCTGTTGTCTGTCCCCCAGGGAGGAGGTTATATGTAGATCCTTGTAATCCGTTCCCCCTTTCTACCCCACCCTCCTTTCGCCCTCCCGGTGCCATGTCCTACTACATAGCCTGTCTTAATCTGTAAACCTGTTCACCATGGCTGGTCATCCAATTTGAAATACTGATGGCCAAGCTTCTTCCAGGATCGTAAATAACTACATTTCATAAAGTGACAGACAAGTAGTGGTAATTATACATAGTGTTCTGTAACTCAAACTTTGTTATAAGTACTTATACGCACACATATATATGTGCATTATATATAAACTTTTTTTTATAAGTTTTAGAGCTCAACCTTCAGGAATGAGCTTTGTTCACATTTAAATGTGCCAATGTGGGTATCTCGTGAACAAAGATACTTCTGCATAGCCAGAACAGATCATTCCCACGTTAGGAAATCAACATAAATACAGCCATACAGTCCAATGAGTATCACAGGGATGCTATACCTTTCTCAGTGCATCCCTTCAGGAGATATGTGTTGGCCCATACGACTACTGGAGAGGTTGACTTCTGGCTTCTGATTTTTGGCTATCTGCCAAATAACTCCATTTTAAGCAGCTTTCTGTTCACGTAATGGGTTACTATGTTGTGGAGAGGTTGGCTGAGCTTGTGCCAGTATCTTGTTGCTCTTTAGATCTGAAGCCATCAGCTGCAAGGATCCATTGGCAGCTGCTGCCTGAATCAACCCCTGTAGGCCAGTTGCTGAATAGTGGTTATGTTTTTGTTTGCTTCTATCCTTCTTTCTTAACACTTAGGAGTTGGCCTGTTACTATATCAAAGAGCTTTTCCTTCTCCCCATTAATTGTTTTATTAATATATTTACTTCAGTATGAACTTATGGATTCCTTTTATATTCAATGGATAGCAATCTTATTTTTATACTCATTTGTTCCTAATTGGACCTGTAGGAGCCCCTCACGCTGTCTTGTATCTTTTTTAAATTTTTTATAAATTGTTTTAATTGGGGCTCTTGCAGTTCTTATAGCAATCCATACATCAATTGTATGAAACACATTTGTACATATGTTGCCATCATTTAAAAACATTTTCTTTCTACCTGAGCCCTTGGTATCAGCTCCTCTTTTTTTCTCCTCCTTTCCCCGCTCCCGCCCTTGTGAACCCTTGATAAATTATAAAGTATTATTGTTTACATATCTTACATCTCGTGTGTTTCTGACATGCCCACTTCATAAACAGAACATTTCCTATGCTCTGGCATGATAAACTATTCTTTTTAATTGGTAGACTAGAGAAACCCCAATTTTGAGCTCATCTTTTCCATAATCCCTTAGCAACATTAAGTATTCCTCTTCTTTTTGCTGGAAATCCTTGGGCAAAGATTATTTTTATTCCATATTTGGAATTTGCATATAATTTGGGGGGCTGATAGACACATGACCTTGGACAAGTTCTTAGCTGTCTCGGTTTCCATTAAAATGGGCGTAATACCATTAAAATGGGCGTAATAATACCTTCCACAATGGTTTGGAAGATTGACATTGCGCATGCATGTACATCTATCTGCGTAGAGGTATCCCTCACTTTATTGTGCTTTGTCTTATTAAACTTAACATTTTTTACAAATTGAAGGTTTGTGGCAGCCCCCCATGGATGGAGCAAGTCTCTTGGCACCATTTTTCTAATCTTATGTGCCCACTTCATGTTTCTGTCATACTTTGGTAATTCTCACAGTGGTTTTTACTTTTTCGTAATGCTGTTGCACACTTAATAAATTTCCAGTCTAGTGTAAATGTAGTTTTTATATGTGCTGGGAAACCACCAAGCTAGTGTGGCTTGCTTTATTACGATAGTCATTTTATTGCAGTGATCTGGAACCAAACCCACAATATATCTGAGGTATACCTGTATATATACATACATACTTAGCCATATGTGCAC